GGGTCCCTGTATTTGTCCCCATCTACTGCAGATGGACGCTTCTCTGATGATAGCTGGACAAGATACTGATGTGTGGGTATAGCAGGATGTAGTTTGGAGTTATTTTAGAAGAAAAATACATGGTTTCCCTCTAGGTTCACACCTGTCAGGTACCACCTGACCAGTGTCAGGCATGGGTTTCATCTGTCGGAGTGGATCTTAAATCCAACCAGATAGTGATGGTTACTCCACCTTCTGAGCCACTGCTGTTCTAGCGTACACGTAGTACAGGCCACCAATGTAGGTAGGAGGTTTATAGCTGGGTTGGTGTTTACCTTTCTCCTCTGGTAGTGTGCAAAGCTAAATTACATTAATTTCAGCCAACTTGTTAGTTATTTTTGGTCAAGATGTTCTACTTATATTTGTAACTAAATATGGCAAATAATTGTAGATAATACTTAGGTTGTTTTCAAAACATTTGTTCATGAGCTTGCTTTGGGAAATATTTGTGTTTACTTGCTTGAAAAATGTGTAAGCCATGCTGTTACTTTTTTTCTCAAAGCTTTTGAATTTGCTATGTAGAATGTTTTTGATTGAGAACAGTGATCCACAGTTTTTCTTTAACTCTGCTCCTTTTGTCAGTAGACTATCAAAAGTGTTGATAAACGACTTATTTTTTTAAAAAAATAGAAAAAATGCAGTTAGGAAAGAATGAAGTTATAAAATCTGAGAATAAAATAAGTTTAGGGTAAAGTTCATATTAATTATTTATAAATTAGATACTTATGGGGTACTATAGCCAATTATGTAGACTTTTTAAATGATATTTAAAATGTCATTAAAAATTACTTTAAAATGTACCAAGTTGACACTGGAATTTTTATTGGATATTTAGAATAAATGGTTGCTTGTCTTGGACATGAATTTGTCACTGCACTGTTAATAGGTATTGATGTCAGATCTTCAGACTGTGACCTGAACTCTGTTAGGTGGTCAGTACATAGTGGGTTGGTGGTTGATGAATTTGGAAAGCTCACACTCTTTCTGACTATAGAAGGAACAGAAATCTTCCTTTATGTGCCTGTAATTGTTTTCTAAGGGGTAAGCTGGTAGGAGGCTGTACAGTACTCGAGAATGACTGGGCACATGTCTACTTTAGTTTGTGTTTCTCAGGTAGCTTCCTGCTTTCAATCTGTCTCTTTGCGTGAGTCTGGTGGTCACAGCCTCGTGGTTTAGGTACTAGTGATTTCTTGGGAGTGTTGTGCTGTGCTGTCTCTACACCATCACATGGAAAACTAAAAAAGAATTAGTTTGAGCCAGCCTGGACTACACATGTAGTAAAGGCCAGGCTATCTTGGGCTACCTATTAAATCATATCTCAAAATCAAAACAAAATGAAGCATGAATAAAGAAACTCCACACACATAAAATTAATCATACCTCTTCTACGCCTTTCTCTTGTGGGAGGTTTTGGATGCTAAGTTAGCATACACTGTTGTACTGACTTTTTTAAAACAGAATTTGAATTCTGACAGAAGTTGATTTCTGAAAAAGGACTCATTGATGTACATTATAACAAGAAGGAAAAGCAGGTTCTTGGTTCCTTTGTTTTACTGACACCGGCTCAGTTGCTGGACGTCTGTCTTATCTACATCGTGGTTCTGATAGAAACGTCTCAAGAAGAGTGGTGCCAAGGGAAGGGAGACAGAGTCTCACCCTGTTATCAGAGTAGGAAAATCCCAAGAGACTTTTTCCTTAACCCACTTCTGTCAGCAGTTTTTCTCGTTGGAACCAAAGTGAAGGAGTACACAGGCTTTTGGGATGGATCTTTGAGCTCCCTAGACATGGCTCATATTCTGGAAATCAGCCTATTAAGGAATACAATAAAGCCAGGAAGCCACTGGGAAACATCACAGATCATTAGATTATGAATGTCATTAGTTTTGGTTATTATTATCTCCTGTATAATGACTGCTTAATGAGCTTTGAGACATTAGGCAAAGTAACCTCTCTAAACCCCATAGCCTTATCTTTAAAATGGGGTTAATGATAGTTCTCATCTCAGATGTTTGCCGTGAAAATTAAACCAGACAGAGTGAGAGCATTGCATAGGGTTCTTAGTTGAGACCCTGAAATCAGGGTCTGAGTGACTGACTGGCGCAGAGGGTTTGGAGTAGATACAGAAAATCTCAGCTTCACTTGAAGAGCTGGAGAAGCAGACTGAAAGGCTGTGCAGCCCAGAGTTGCAGTTAGAATCATGGCACTAATGCAGGGAGGACTCTGCTGTACTGGATGATCTATTTGCACTGGGGTGCTGGGCAACACTGTTAACATCGTTGCCTTTGAACCATCACTGCCACCACCTGGCAAGGTCATTTTGTGCTGTCTCTGCTTCTTTGTATCACTTGCCCTTGGACCAGAACCTCCAGTAGCTGATTCCAGGTCATTTAGCCAAGCATTGTAGCAGGGAGGTTGGAAAAGCAAGTTTGTGATATTATTGGCATTTTCGCAGAAACTTGGGCTGTGTTTACACTGAATATAATTTCCAAGTTAAGGATTCCCATGAGATCCTTTTAAGCACACTGGATGATGCTCAGCTGGTTTTGAAGTATCTCAAGGGCATTTTGGGAGTGTTAGTGTAAAGTTGTCGGTTTGGGTTGCCTCATCATTAACTGTAAGAGTCGTCAGTGATGGCTGAGTGTGGTGATACATGCTTGTAATCTAAGAACTTGGGATGAGACAGGTTCCTGCAGGTTTGAGTTCAGCCTGCACTAACTAGCAGGACCTTCCTCCCCAGTTCCCAAAAGGGTGTGTGATACCATCAGAATGTCCACCCGTTATGGTCACAAGACCTGGGTCTGAATCTAGCTCTAGCAGAACAGGGAAAACGTTTGAAGCCAGTCCACTTCCTGTCTGAGCAGCAGCGCCTCAGTACTGTAGTCGGGGACAGAAGTGAACCATACAGAACACCGAGCACAGTGAGGACTGCTCAGAAAACACAGCAAGAGCCTACTTGGGAGTATAGCTCAAGTTTTTATGTCTCATAAATCTTTAGTAAATAGTTAAGTATTTAAGCTACTATAATTTGGAATAGCATTCTCAGAGTGACTACGAAGTCAAAATATTCTTGTGACATAAGGCATTATTTGCCTTTTTCAGCAGAATTTTCTCATGAGCAAGTTCCCAGAGGCCATATGACATACAATACCATAACACATTGGACATAGAGGCAGATTTGGTTCCATATTAAAGGGACTTGCAAAAATGTAAAACTCTGACACTGTTTTATGAGTTTTTCTTTTGTTCTGTAAATTTTTTTAAAATAAAAAGTTATGTTAATATGCATATTTATTTATTTTCTAAAATTAAATTTTATTTATTTTCTAAAATTAAATATTTTTAAATTTTGCTTTTCCATTTGGCAACTATTAATAGGATAACATACATAAACAAACATATATAAACATAGGCTTATAAAAGGGATTTAAGTCCAAAAGTTTGGAGAATTTCTGTTTAAGGGAAAATGCTTTTCTGTGAGAGAAAGCTATATTTGAATAACTTAATGTAAGTATTTAAATGGACCTTTACTTAAGTAGTGGGCCTGGAAAATCTTTCCAAAGTCTTTAATTAGCTTAATAAAAAATATGGTATGCATGTAGAGATTAAATGAAAAGAAAAACTTCGTGGCACATCTTATATGGAAATAGACATAAATAAAGGAATCTTTTGGATGAAGATATAGGATTTGTTAGTAAGCTGGACATGTTGGCTCATGCTTAAACCCCAGTATTTGGGAGGCAGAAGCAGAAGGATTGCTGTAAACTCAAATCCCACTTGGGCTTCATATTAAAGTAGGTCTGGACCAGCCTGAGCTACAGAGTGAGACCCTGTCTTCATAAAACAAATGAAGAAACACACTCAATTATGGTGATGTAGGGAGGTCACTGTTCTAGACATGACAGTATCTGCTTTGTGTCCTGTCCCTAGAACCTTAATTCAGAAATGTATTTCTGAGTAAACATTACAGTATTGCTTTTTCTCTCTGTTTCTCTGTGGCCCAGACTGACCTTGCATTCACGATCCTCTTGCCACAACTGGGGTTACAGATATGTGTGTCGTGCCTGACTTTCTCTAGTGATTTGAATTTCCGTTTCTCAAAATGAAGCATGTCCTGCTGTTTTCTTTGGTTATTTCAATAAATGTCTGATCACCTACTCTGTACTATACTCTATTTTATACTTATTACAGATAAACTGATACGTATCAAGGCCCTTGCCTATGGAGATAATGTTAGTGGGAGTGAGGAATTAAAAGAAAATGGAATAAACAAAGTGTAGTTGTAGGTAATTGCAAATTCTAGCAGGGGCCACGAAGGGGTAGCAGAGTAAGAAGGAAGAGCTGCAGGCTCATTGACGCAGCTACAGCGGGAAGTCGTCTCTGAGATGTGTAGTCAGTTGGAGGCTCTGAGGTGTGCCTGCACAGGGACACGGTAACATCGGAAAGGTAGGGAATGGCTGGGTCATGAAAGGCTTAGGGACTCTGGGAAGAAACCCATGGCTGTGACATACGGATGGTTCATCTGTGTCCAAGCCTGAGAGACCTGTGAGATTAGAGGTCTGCGGAGGTGGCCGTGATGGGGAATGAACACCCTTTCTCACAGCTGCCCTTGTTCATGTTCAAGGAGAGAATGGCCCAGAGACCAGTTTTACTCCAGTGCCAGTAGGAAGACAGTGTCTCCTTACCCACAGTTCGTTCAAAGGAGTTACACTTTAAAAAGTTAGGTTCTTGCCGATTGGTGGTGGCACATGCTTTTAATCCCAGCACTCAGGAGTCAGTAGCAGGCAGATCTCTGTGAGTTTGAGGCCAGCCTGGTCTATAGAGTGAGTTCCTGGACAGGCACCAAAGCTACAAGAAAGATCCTATCTCAGAAAAAAGTTAGGTTCTTTAATCAGAGTTTGTACATGTGTAGCTAAGCCCAAGACAATTTTTTTTTTTACTAGTTGTGTCTGTGTTTTTTTCAGTGCTCTGCTTTTTAATGAAGTAAAATATGTTACCATCCTGGAAGACCTTCACAACATAGAAAACTCTCTGAAAGGAAAAGCCAATATGATATTCTCATATGTGGAAGCCATCGGAACACCAGGTACTGTGCTTTGGAGCCCAGTGGTCCAGGCTGGCTTCCCAGCTCACCAGGTGCTGAGAGTGGGACTGGGACAAGTTATTTAACCTCTGTTTTCCAGTCTCAGAGCAGAGGAAGCCTGGGGTGAATGCCTGCTGAGTGAGGAAGCCTTCCCCCAGGGGACACCAGCACCAGTAACTTCCTCTTCTACGACTGCGACTGCTGCAGCCGGAGGCTGCTCCCCTCCTGAGCCAGGCTGAAACCACCACCCCCACTCCTTGTTGCTTTGGTAGCAGATGCACTCCATCAAAGTGAACACAACCCACCTGATCCCAGCCTTCCTGAGTGTGTCTGTCTGTCCTTCCGTCCTTCTGTCCGTCCGTCCATCCGTCCTTTCTTTATTCCTTTATTGCATTGGTCAGGTTTCTAGGATCAAGTCATGCAGAACATGGCAGAAAATAATTGTCCCTACCTTTTAGTGTTATTTCAGTGTCATTTGTGAGACTCAAATGATTTTTTTTTTCAGTGCACAGGACTGAACGCAGAATAGGATTAAGTGAATCTGAATAAATAAATGCTTTCTGGAGTATTTGGGTATTTGGAAGTATTATAAGACTGTTAATTATTGCCAGTTTTGTTTCCTTTATAGTCCTTATGGTACTTATTATAGTTTCTAATATTTGATAAATACTATTGGCTCTGCCTTTCTTTTCTTTTTAAAAATATTTTGTAGTTTTCCTTAATATAAAAATACATTTTTGACAGAACCACATAAACACTATTACCAAATTATCTGGTAAAGAATTTTATAAGCACTTTATAAACAGATTACAGTTTTATTTTCAGAACTCTTAGATGTTAACAGTAGTAACTTCTCCGTGGTAATGTTTGCAGGGGTCTCTCTGACCACCATGTATAGCAGAGTAACATCCACGTGAGGCAACAAGAAAGCTTGGTTCAAACTGCAAGAATCTGACCCAAAGTAGTTTATTTTAGACATATTTAAGCACAGCACAGTCTGGTGAAATTATCCTGGTGATAATTAATTCAGCCCATTATACAATAAAACCTAAGACTTGACTACATAGAAACTCTTTGTAAAGTACATGAGACATCTTCCATAATGATGGGTTCTATAGATTGACAAATTCACAATAAGGGTCTGGGCGAGGATCCGGTGTGGTCTCAGCCATGCAGACAGTATAAAGGTCACGCTGCTATTCACCATATCTGCTTCCAGTCTCGTGAGTGGGAAACATGTTCTACATCTCTCCCTTTGAAGAGACAGCCCTGTGTGTTTGGCATTCCTGGTTCCCCTAGTGCTTATCTGTGAGCACAAGGACGGCTGTGCCTCCCACAAATGTTAAGTACTTTTTTCATTGGTTCATTGTGTATGTTTCTGTATTTGTATGTTGGTGCATGTACAGAATCCAAAGGGTGATATCAATATTCTCTTCAGTCGCTCCAATTTATTTCCTGAGAGAAGGTCTCTTGCTGAACCTAGAGCTTGCCAGTTTTGCTAGTTTAGCTAGCCAGCTTGCCCTGGAGGATCCCCTGTCTCTGCCTCCTGAGCACTGAGTTCTGCCTGTCTTTTATGTGTGTTCTGAGGAATCCAAACTCAGGTTCTCACACTCGGCTCCAAAGGGTCATCTCTCTACCCAACTCTATGCTTTTATGAAATAAGCTATATGTTGAAATTTTAGTTTTTGTAAATATATAGCTTCATGGCATGTCGTAAAATATATTACGCTTATAAAATAGTACTTCAGGGCTGGCAAGATGTCTCACTGGGTAAAGATACTGGGCCACTCTTCCAATCTTAGGATTCCCTTTCTTTGTGGAAGGAGAGCCCCAAGTCCCAGAAATTGTCTCTTGACTATCATGTGAACAGTTCCCCCAAAATAAAAAAAAAATTAAAATTTAAAACAGTACTAACAATTTGCCTATTTTGCTGTCCCCAGTTTCTAATTAATTAGTAATTAGTACAAAACATAACTTATGGGGCTCCTTCAGCTGTAGCTACACAAGGATTAATTCCTTGATTTATACTTAATCACTTCAACCTGGCAATACGTTTGAACTAGATTGGAAGAAGTAAGGGTGGTAGAATGAGGGAGAAAATAGGAAATTCCTATAGTAGTGTGGGTAGCGGATGATGGGGTGACCTAGACAGGGTGGCGTGGACAATGGGGGTGACCTAGACAGGGTGGCGTGGATGATGGGGTGACCTAGACAGGGTGGCGTGGATGATGGGGTAACCTAGACAGGGTGGCTTGGATGATGGGGTGACCTAGACAGGGTGGCGCAGGTGATGATGGGGTGACCTAGACAGGGTGGTGCAGGTGATGATGGGGTGGCCTAGACAGGGTGGTGCAGGTGATGATGGGGTGGCCTAGACAGGGTGGTGCAGGTGATGATGGGGTGGCCTAGACAGGGTGGTGCAGGTGATGATGGGGTGACCTAGACAGGGTGGTGAGGATGATGATGGGGTGACCTAGACAGGGTGGTGAGGATGATGATGGGGTGACCTAGACAGGGTGGTGCAGGTGATGATGGGGTGACCTAGACAGGGTGGTGCAGGTGATGATGGGGTGACCTAGACAGGGTGACATGGATGATGGGGTGACCTAGACAGGGTGGTGCAGGTGATGATGGGGTGACCTAGACAGGGTGACATGGATGATGGGGTGACCTAGACAGGGTGGCGCAGGTGATGATGGGGTGACCTAGACAGGGTGACATGGATGATGGGGTGACCTAGACAGGGTGGTGCAGGTGATGATGGGGTGACCTAGACAGGGTGGCGCAGGTGATGATGGGGTGACCTAGACAGGGTGGTGAGGATGATGATGGGGTGACCTAGACAGGGTGGTGAGGATGATGGGGTGACCTAGACAGGGTGGTGCAGGTGATGATGGGGTGACCTAGACAGGGTGACATGGATGATGGGGTGACCTAGACAGGGTGGTGCAGGTGATGATGGGGTGACCTAGACAGGGTGGCGCAGGTGATGATGGGGTGACCTAGACAGGGTGACATGGATGATGGGGTGACCTAGACAGGGTGGTGAGGATGATGATGGGGTGACCTAGACAGGGTGGTGAGGATGATGATGGGGTGACCTAGACAGGGTGGTGCAGGTGATGATGGGGTGACCTAGACAGGGTGACATGGATGATGGGGTGACCTAGACAGGGTGGCGCAGGTGATGATGGGGTGACCTAGACAGGGTGACATGGATGATGGGGTGACCTAGACAGGGTGGCGTGGATGATGGGGTGACCTAGACAGGGTGGTGCAGGTGATGATGGGGTGACCTAGACAGGGTGGTGCAGGTGATGATGGGGTGACCTAGACAGGGTGGCGCAGGTGATGATGGGGTGACCTAGACAGGGTGACATGGATGATGGGGTGACCTAGACAGGGTGGCGTGGATGATGGGGTGACCTAGACAGGGTGGTGCAGGTGATGATGGGGTGACCTAGACAGGGTGGTGCAGGTGATGATGGGGTGGCCTAGACAGGGTGGTGCAGGTGATGATGGGGTGACCTAGACAGGGTGGTGAGGATGATGATGGGGTGACCTAGACAGGGTGGTGAGGATGATGATGGGGTGACCTAGACAGGGTGGTGCAGGTGATGATGGGGTGACCTAGACAGGGTGACATGGATGATGGGGTGACCTAGACAGGGTGGTGCAGGTGATGATGGGGTGACCTAGACAGGGTGGCGCAGGTGATGATGGGGTGACCTAGACAGGGTGGTGCAGGTGATGATGGGGTGACCTAGACAGGGTGACATGGATGATGGGGTGACCTAGACAGGGTGGCGTGGATGATGGGGTGACCTAGACAGGGTGGCGTGGATGATGGGGTGACCTAGACAGGGTGGCAGCAGTGATGTAGGAGCAAGTGTGAACATGGGTTACTGTTTTGGAGGTGTAAGTATGTTTTCTGTTATGTTCCAGACAAAGGTGCCTGTGAGGTGGTCTATGAGACTTGAAAGTTTGGAATAGGAGCACTGAAGTGCCCTTTTTGATATTATACTTGTGAAATACACTACAGTAGCTTATGTTGGGATGCAGACTCGGAGCATGGGTTTGAGGAGTAGAGCTGTGATGCCCGGGAGCACTTGAGCATTTACACTCAGTCAGGAGGGACCAGTGAAAGGGACAGAAGGTGTGGTCTGTGTGCACATTTGCTGAAAAGCAAGGTGAAGATAAGTGTTTTCCTCTTTGAACAAAGATATGCCAGCTAATTTTCTCCAAACTTTTCTCCTTAGCTCAAGGTATAGGATGCCGTGAATGAACAAGAAGACTCCTAAGTTTAGTTTATTCCCTAAGGCTGAAGGTGGACTAGACTTGCCATTGTTTGCCCTCACAGATACCCCAGGTGAGGGTCATCAACACTATGAAATGCGGTGGCTATGTTACACGGCAAACCCAGTCTTCTCTGGGGGTCTCTAGTCCCACTACTGTGAGCCTCGCCAGGATACAGCATCATCTGACCTCTCATTCTAGAGCGCAGAGGAAGAATTTAACTTCACTTCTTCTTCCCTTCAGGTGACTGAGAAGCGTGTCAGTGACTTCATGCTTACATCTGAGCTGAAAGTGTCGAGTTGTGCTGGTTTTCTTAATTCAGGGAGGATGGAATGTCACTCAGACGTAACTTTTCTCAAACCCCACCTCTCTAAAGATTTGCTATGTATTTTCAGCAGTAATTGGGTAAACCAGCATATTTTCGCAGGTAGTATAATGTGATATTAACAACTTATATAGAGAGGTTTGTTTCTAAGACCTTTGAAGAAAACGGTCATTGGAGGCCCACATCTAAACCAATGGTTTACTTTTCACTCTGATTATGAGAGTTGACATCTTATTAGATTTTTTCCTCACATTGGTACTTTCGTTTGCCCATTAGTAGAAACTACTTTCATTAACACAGTAATAGAGGTGTTTTGCCGAAGACTCCCCCTCTACTCTGCCTTGTATGAAGTTAGCCTGGAGCTTCCTTTCATAGAGTATCT